AAAGTTACAGGCGTTTCAACTGCCACACAGAAAGGTTTAAAAAACAAAAACAAAAAAACAAACTCACAGTTCAGAAACAATGATGCTAAAAGAAAATTCCATTAAAGATTCTGGCATGTTGCAAGGGCAAACTGCAATAAAAATCCCCTCGCTTATCACTTGGGCTTTCGCCTTGTCCACAAATATCATACCCACACTTAACCGATACCCAATCCTCCATGTTTTGTCTTGTGCCTTAAATCACAGCAACCAAGTTACCTTCCAATTTCTGTTTTTTGGTTCCAGGGGAAGCCTTCTATTTGGCAATTTCCTTTTTCCACTTATCAGGTTCTGTGGGCAAAAGCCAGAATGCTATATTTTTAATGTTCTGTCTGTACCACTAACGAGTAAACTGGAAGCTTCTACTCTAATCACCAATATCATACTTAGGGTCTGCCTGCTCTTCACAAAACACAGGGGTCAGGTCTGGTCAGAGTACTTTTAAAAGCATTTATAAATTGATCAGAAAGTTCTCCAAATTCCTAAAAGAAATCCAACACCCTCTGCCCAAGGGCTTCCCTACAACTCGAATTCCTTGATATGGGCTACCCCTCAACCGAGCTGATTTAGGTCATTGTTGACCTTCCTCTTCCTCTTCTCCCTCACTGCCTTTTCCCTCAGTCATTGTCCCAACCCCTACAGGAAGGGCTTTCTCCCCCTGAACCATGTAGAATATGCATCTTCCTTTTCAGAATCTAAATGAAAACCCACCTAAACAATTACTGCCACACAGACTTGTTAAGAATAACAAATTGCTCTTTCAGAAAAACTGCTCATAAGTCTGGCTATAGTACACAAACCTAAAAAAAAATTCACTGCCACTTTAACCTCTTATTTTGAAATAACTTTACTGCTGTTATATTTTAATACAAATATTAATAATTACTTCTTTGGAAGCAATTTTTTTTTTTAATTTTTAAGTAATCTCTACACCCAACATGGGGCCCAAACTCACAACCCTGAGATTCATAGTCACATGTTCCACTGACTGAGCCAGCCAGGTGCCCCTGGAAGCAATATAATTTAAAATGTTACACAGACTCCATCAAGACAAAAACAAAATCACTGAGAATTAGGGTTGGGGAACAATTAACCTGCATGGCTCATATGCACAACAGAAACAATCAATGTATTAAGTTTAGCAAAAACTCTGCTTCTGGTCATGGGGACAGCAGAGGTCAACTGTCCACTGAGATTTCCTCATCAATGAAGCCAGGCCCAAAACATCAGCCAGGGACTGCCAAGGCCAACTTTCTGAAGGGTGGTGTCTTCACAGAATGCCTCTACAGCAATGTGGAACGGCATAGGGCTGACCCTTGGTATCTCCTGGCCACTGGCCGGAAACGCCTCTGGGAGAGGATCTGTTACTTTTCTCATCCTGGCCCAACTCAGTGTTCTTATCTTCTTCCTCCTCATCGTTCTCACTTCTTTTCTTGGCATGCCTCCTGTGTTTTGGCAACTTGGCCCATATGGCAGCCTTCCGGTGTGGTGAGGTTAGTTTCTTAGCAAACATGGGAGCCAGAGACGTTCTCCCCCTGACTTTATTTTCTGGAGCAGTGGTGATCTTTCCACCATTCTTCTGAGGGACAAAGCCTGGAGAAGCAGCAGCAACAATGAAAGCAGATCTTCCCCCTGCCCAAGAGGTTACAGTCAGCAAGGGCAAGATTTGGTCAGGCACACATGTCAATGTCGAAGATGAATTTCTCAATGTGCAGTAAGAGAGTTCCCAGCACCACCTGGCATGCTTGTCTTATGAAAAGGAAAAGAAAAACAAATTCCTAGACTTCACTTAGAGTTATCCACTCAGAATCTTTACAGGGAAGGAACTCATTTCTAGAAGTATCCAAGTGGCTGCCCTAGGAAAATATGCCAAGTCAACTACTGTTTAGGTGGCTCCACATACCTTTAGAGTTGCGTACAAAGATACACTGAAGTGAAGAGCCTCCCACAACAGATGACTAGAACATACACAGGAATGAGCGCCAAGCCCCAGAGATTGAGTCTCATGCTTCCTAATTATACCATCAATTCCCATCCCATGGCTACTAATAACTGGCCATGGTGTTATAAAACTAGATACCTAAAGATGACAATTTTAGCAAAACATTGAATGAGGTCTCATCATACACAAAAGAACAAGATGAAGAAATATGGGCAATTAATAGAAGCACTGTCTTTATCTTGCCAGTGTTAACTAGAACAATGTCATAACACAGGGAAGGCATTACTGGTGTTATGGGCTGAACTATATCCCACTAAAATTCATACATCAAAACCCTAATCCCCAGTGTCTAAGAATATTACTGGGGGTGCCTGGGTGGCTCAGTGGGTTAAGCATCCAACTTTGGCTCAGGTCATGATCTCAGGGTCTGTGGAGTCAAGCCCTGTGTCCGGTTCTGTGCTGATAGCTCAGAGTCTGGAGCCTGCTTCGGATTCTGTGTCTCCCTCTCTTTCTGCCCCTCCCCACTCATGCTCTGTCTCTCTCTGTCTCTCAAAAATAAATAAATGTTTAAAAAGAATTTTTTTTTAAAGAATATTACCGTATTTGGAGACAGGTCTTTAAAGAAGTAATTAAGTTAAAATGGGGTGGTTAGAGTCATTAGAGTAGGCCCTAATTTAATATGACTGCTGTCCTTATAAGAGATTAGGCCACAGATGACAGATGAATGACCATGTGAATAAATAGTGAGAAGACAGATATCTGCAAGCCAAGGAGAGAGGTTTTGGAAGAAACCAAACCTGCCAACAGCTCGATCTTCAACTTCTAGCCTCCAGAACTGTGAGAAAATACATTTCTGCTGGTTCAGCCACCCAGTCTATATTTTATTAAGGAAATCCCAGCAAACCAATACAGTTGGTGTATATATATAGCCATCAATTCACATCATAGGAAGAGATAAGAGCACGCAATTAGCATTACTGGTTATGAACACATTCATAGGCAAGCAGATGAGGGACCAGTTCTTCTGGCATGGTAATGATATGCGATCAGGGAAGTTAGGTGAAAGAGATGAAGGCTTTTTGTTTTGTTTTGAACTTTTAGTAATCTCTACACCCAACGTGGGGCTTGAACTTAAAACCCAGAGATCAAGAGTCACATGCTCTTCTGACTGAGCCAGCCCAGCGTCCCAAAAGATGAGGGTTTTCATGAAATAATTTCAAGGAGCCAACTTTAGGGTCTGGTTACCCTAAAAGTTCATCTAATTGCAATAGTACTATTCAATGCTGCACTAATCAGAGTACACCATTATAAGAACCACACTTTAGTGACCAAGGGTGACCAGTGTGAACAGTCGAGAACCGCATCATGTGCGTATCAGCCTAAGAGAAATATAATGTGACTATCCCTGTTTTCCTCCAAGCCACCAGAGTCTAAGTTCCAAAGCAAAAGTTGCATTTACCAAGAACTTTCTGGCTGATTGGTACAGAAAGCTAATGCAATGTATAGTGTATGGGCTGATTGGTACAGAAAGCTAATGCAATGTATAGTGTATGGCCTGCTTGGGATTGTCTCCTCCTTCTCTCACTGCCTCTCCCCCACTCACTCTCTATTTCTCTCTCAACATAAATAAAAATAAACTTAAAAAAATGCTTCAAAGTCCAAAGATGGACTTATGGGTGCACTTTGTACAGGGCAAGCAAACTATTCCAATGCTGAACCCAAAGACCTTAGTCCCACATCAAAGGATTAGTAAATGAACATATATTTAACACGTTTTAAATTAAAATCAAAAGGTATGTATGGATAACTTACTTTTGATTGATTAAACTACTAGACTGAATAGGGCTAATGAAAGTTTCTATTATAACTGGTTGCTCAAAGTAGACAGTAAATACATGTTGGCTGCCTCTCAAAATGACTGCTTGGGGGAAAGAGAAAAATGAACCGGGAAGGGGTAAGGGCTTTGGATTCCACAGAACTATGGGTAATCCTGGCTGTGTCGCTTATTAAGTCCAAAACCATGAGCAAGTTAGTTAATGGCTAAATCTGTTTTCCCATCTATAAAATGGAGCTGATGTCGCCTGCCTAATATGGTCGCTTAATGCATTAAGCCCTAGGGCAGCGGCTGCAATGAAGCATTCACTCATCAGCCGTGTACTCCCTCATCCACCTCAATTTTTTTTTTCATCCACCTCAGTTCTTTTAGGACTCCACTTATTCCAATAAGGAATTCCAATAAGGAATAATTTAGGACTCCCATCGATATTCCAATACCAACACAGAAGCTCCCAGCCAGAAGCACAGAATGTAGGAGGGATCTAAATATTTGTCAAAAGAATAAATATGGAAACACAGATGTTTGGCAAGCACACACACTAATGACATTTAATGGAGCAGCTTTAAGAATCAAGAGATTTTTCTTTTAAGCCGCTATTTCCAGGCAACCGAGATCACTTTTCAAACAAAAAACACTTTTGCAATCCCCAAAACAAACCTCACTTCTCACAATGGATTATTATTCTTTTGACAGGACACTGGCATTTGATTTGGTAAGATTCTGTTTGGAGTTTTTGCATCTGTGCTCATGGGAGTGGACTGTAAATTTTTTTTTTCTAAAAGTGACTGTCAGGTTTTGGTACTAACTCTGGAGGGTGGGCTTGCAAAACTAGTCAGAAAGTGTTCAGGATACCACTTTTGAGATTCAACAAGGCAGTTTAACTGTTTTACTCTGGATTCTTATTCACCCCCTTTTTTTTTTAATGTTTTATTTATTTCCTAGAGACAGAAAGACAGTGTGAGCAGGGGAGGGTCAGAGAGAGGGAGACACAGAATCCATAACAGGCTCCAGGCTCTGAGCTAGCTGTCAGCACAGAGCCCGATGCGGGGCTCGAACCCACAAACCCATAAGATCATGACCTGAGCCAAAGTTGGACGCTCAATCGACTGAGCCACCCAGGCGCCCCTGGATTCTTATTCTTGACAGCAGTGTCATTCTGCTGTGCTCTGTACATATAATTACCTCATCTCTACTTCCTTTGTTCTTATCTTCTCACATCTCATCTTCTCCATCTTCCCATCTCCTTCGGAAAAAGACTCATTTTCTTCAGTTCATCTTGCCTTTTTTCCTGCTTAAAACGGACAAGATTATTAGGCTCATCACAAGGCCTTTGACATTCCATGCAATGTACGTTTTGCCTCTAGTGTCTGCAGTAAGTTTCTATGTGTAAGAATTCTACTTGTAATAAAATTAGGCCTTATCCTAAAGTTAGTTACATTTGGGACATTTTGCTCACACTAGCGAATAGCAAAATATATCCAAAAAATTAATTTTTGTGAATGTTTGTAGGTCAGATGTCCCACACCGTGTCTTTTGCCAATATCTAGAAATGGTAACTCAAGCTTCCAAGAATGCCTCCCTCTCCGTCTCATCTGCTCCCTTCACCACACGTTTTCAAATAGTTTAGACGTTTTTAAAAATTAATTCCTCTACCAACTGTTCAAATGAAGGCACACCAGGCCAAAATAAAGCCTCCATACAGGCACAAAATCAGTACCTACGACTCAAATGTCTTTACCTTTCCGGACTGAGAACTCAGTATTAAGTGAGGCATCTCTACCTCCATCCAAATTTACAACACAAATAAGGAGTCTCACAACACAACCTAGAGCCACCACTTCTCAAGTTAAACAGCAGGGGCTCTTCCCTTCTTTAAAAAGGCGATCGCGGGGGTGCGGCCCCGCCCACCCAGGGCCCAGCGCGCCACCGCGCACCGCAGAGCCCCGCGGAAGGTTCCAGGGGTGTCCAGGGCAGCCCGCGGGCGCCAACAGATCTGGAGCGCCCTCCCAGCGGCCGCCGGGGCCTAGACCCGTACACAACTCTCTCCAGGAGACGGAGCCCTAGTGATTCCGCCTCGGCCAATCAGAGCCCGCACCGTCTCTGGGCCAATCCGAGACGCGAGCCCAAGGAGGAGGCCGAGAACGCGAGCCTGGGGGCGGGGTCTCGAGCCAGGGCCTCCCTTGCTGCGCCTGCGCGCAGGGCGGACATTTTGGTCGGTTTGCGTTAGTCGTGGTGGGCTTTTTGTTGTTCGGTTCTGGTTGGCGGAGCAAAAGGTGCAAATCCTGCTAGGTTTGGGGACCTCACCGGTGGTCACACATCTTAGGACACCCTTGTCGGTGCGCCCGGAGAAAGTGAATAGCAGTCATTAAAGCAGCCCCTCGTTGCCGGCCCGTGAGCAAGGATAGGTTCCAGGCGCTCGCGTCCGTTAACTCGGCGAGGCCGCCACCCGCTCGGAGCCGAGAGGGAGGCGCGGGCGTTCCGGCGCCGGACGGCAGGGGCCGGGACTCGACAGGAGGTGGTGATGGTTCTAGCGGATCATTAATACCTTTTCCCCGCCATCGTTGCTTTTCACACATTGTATCGTGGACTTCTCAAAACTTGTGATACAGGTGTTATTAATAGTTAAGTTTTTTTAGTGTTTACTTCTGTTTCTTTAATTTTTTTTAATGTATTATTTATTTCTAGGAGAGAGAGAGAGACAACGTGAGCAGGGGAGGGTCAGAGAGAGAGGGAGTCACAGACTGAAATAGGCTCCAGGCTCTGAGCTGGCAGTCAGCACAGAGCCCGACGCGGGGCTCGAACCCACGAACCGACAGATCATGACCTAAGCGAAAGTCGGACGCTTAACCGACTAAGCCACCCAGGCGCCCCTTTAATGTTTACTTCTGAGATCTCTCAGAAGAGAGAGAGAGCGTGAGCAGGGGAGGGTCAGAAAGAGACGGAGACACAGAATCTGAAGCAGGCTCCAGGCTCGGACCTGGCTGTCAACACAGAGCCCGACGCGGGGCTCGAACCCACGAACCGTGAGATCGTGACCTGAGCCGAAGTCGGACGCTTAATCCGACTGAGCCACGCAGGCGCCCCATAATAGTTAAGTTTTACATGTAGGGAAATGGAGGCAGAGGTTGAGGAACTCCGCAGCTATTGATTTGCTTCCTCAATTACTTAATATCGTTTCTTTTAGTTGAAACCATCATTAATGTTATCTTTCAATCACCATTAGCACCAGTAGGCACAGTAGTAGGATGAGAAAGTCTAGGAATTACTCCGCACTGGGATTTGAAAAAGCACCTTGGGATAAATGTGTGTGTCGGGAGTGGATAAGGCTGGTCCTGAGTCAGGGACCTTGAGCGCGTCCTAGTTTCAGAAAGTTCTAAACTGGAAGGAAGGAGAATAGGAAAACCAATTTGCTTACGTATTTTAGATTTGGTACCTCACTAGCCACTTACCTTAACTAAACTGATCAAGGACAACTGAAAAGAAGCAAGACCCATTTCACTTATGGATAAAGATGCATGGTTCAAATAAAACATTAGAAGAGCATTGAATCAAGCAGTGTAGTAAAAAATATTGACCAAGTAAGATTTAACACTGGAATGCAAGGATGTTTCATGGTAAAGTAAAAAGGTCAAACTAACAGACTAAAGGAAGAGGAATACCATATTATATGAAATAAAGCCTATCTGTAAAAGTGAAACATATGATGACACTAATTAAAAAGCAGTCTTATTAAAATCAGGAATAAGAGAGGTGCCTGGCTGGCTCAGTCGGTGGAGCATGAGACTCGCTCTTGGGGTGGTGAGTTCCAACACCGCATGTGGTCTAGAGTTCACTTAAATTTTATTTTAAATCAGTAATAAGAGCTTGGGACGTGAATGTCATTCCTAAGGCACAAGGAGCAAAATCTGTGAATGAAACTAAGGCCTATTTGACCACATTACAATGTAAAACTTCTGGATGCAAGAGTGTCTGCAAATCTAAAATACAAGGAATAAATTGGGAAGAAATGTTTGTATATATCAAAAACCAAGCGTCAGAATATGAAAGAACTACAAATCAGAAAAAGACAAAAATGGACCAAGGATACAAAAAGCAATTTTCAGAAGAAATTTAAGTAGCACATAAAACCGTGAAACAATGCTCGACCATACAACCATCAGGAAAATACAATTTAATAAGATACCGTTTGTATCCGTCAGATTAACAAAATTAACATCAAACAAGGATTTTGAGATTATGAGAAACTGGCAAATTGTTACTGTAGGGAAGAAAATGCATATTTTTTAAATTATTTTTTAATGTTTTATTTATTTCTAGGAGAGAGAGAGCGCGTGAGCAGGGGAGGGTCAGAGAGAGAGGGAGATACAGACTCTGAAACAGGCTCCAGGCTCTGAGCTGGCAGTCAGCACAGAGCCCGACGTGGGGCTCGAACCCACGAACCGCGAGATCACGACCTAAGCGAAAGTCGGACGCTTAACCGACTAAGCCACCCAGGTGCCCCAGAAAATACATGTTTTGTTCTATCCTTCTAAATTCTTCACTGTGGTAAGTTTTATGTAACACGGGAGCCTTCAAAAGGAAGACCTGAAGAAGTGGTTAAGCCCGAGTGTTTTATGCTGTTTGATGAAGAGTGGAGACCTGTGGGAACATGGAATGGGACAAAGGAGTATGAGCTCAGTGTGGTAAATTGGAGGAAACAGCAAGGCCTCTTGGTTCATTTTCTTCTTGGTCTCTTGGAGAAAAGGGTGTCCCTTTTCTCTGCATATAGAGAGGGCACCTTTGCTCAGGGAAGGTCAGAGTCCTCTGTGCACCCGCTTTGTTCAAATTCCTTTAGCTTAGAATACTCAACAGGCCAAGGTGCCACACTTCAGGATGGTGTGTCCTGAACCCCCTCATTACAGTCACCTACGGAGAAATTTGTCAATTTCCAGTCAAGGTAAAAATTCTTCCTTACGTTTTGTAATTCCACTTCCAGATATCTAAATAATAAAGAAGCAGTCACACTGATAAACTTGTGCATTTTTAAAAATATTTCCTAATGTTTATTTTTGAGAAGGAGGGGCAGAGAGAGAGGGAGACAGATTCCGAAGCAGGAACTGTGCTGTCAGCAGAGAGCCCCATGTGCAGCTCGAACTCATAAACTGTGAGATTATGATCTGAGCGGAAGTCGGACGCTCAACTGACTGAACCACTCAGGTGCCCCCATAATAAAATTCTTTTTAAGTTTGCAATAAAGCTTCACATATTGGGGAACCTGGGGGGCTCAGTCAGTTAAGTGTCTGAATTTGGCTCAGGTCATGATCTCACAGCTTGTGAGTTTGAGCCCTGCTCTGGGCTCTGTGCTGACATCTCAGAGCCTGGAGCCTGCTTTGGATTCTGTGTCTCCTCCTCTCTCTGCCCCTCCCCTTCTCTCACTCTATCTCTCTCTCAAAAATAAATATTAAAGAAAAAAGGATTTTATTATGGACATTTCCAAACACTAAGTAGAGAGAATAAAAAATGAATCAACTTTTACCCATCAGCCTGGTTCAAAACTTTTTTTTTTTTTGCCAAAAATTTTGTAACTATTCCCTGCCTCATGTTCCCCCCTCCTCTCTTTTTTTTTTCCTTGAGAATTTTAATTGAATCCTAGGCATCCTGTCATTCCACCTATAAACACTTTATTATGTACAGTACCAGGATATTGGCTTGCTACCACTTAATAGCTGGCCTGTGTTCAGTTTTCTGTCTCAGAAATGCCTTTTTACTGTTGGTTCGCTTGAATTAAGATTCAAAAATTTCCACACATTCCATTTGGTTGATATGTCTCAAATCACTTTAAATCTGTAATAGACAACCTCTTTTAAATGCTATTTGTTGAAGAAACCAAGTCATTTGACCTTATAGAATTTGACCTTATTCCGAATTTGGATGACACCTTTAAGGTATCTTTTTTTTTATGTTTATTTATTTTTGAGAGACAGCACTCAAGAGAGCAGAAGTGGCGGGGAGAGAGGGGAACGGGATCTGAGGCAGGCTCTGCATTGTCAGTGCAAAGCCCAATGCGGGGCTCAAACTCACAAACCGTGAGATCATGACCTGAGTCGAAATCAGACGCTTAACTGACTGAGCCACCCAGGCGCCCCTCTTTAAGGTACCTTGAAAGTATTCGTCCATGTTCAGTGTTCTTTTAAACTGGTCTTAGCCCTGGAGGCTCTGTTACATTAAGGCTCAGGCTGTTTTGCAGGAAGACTTAGTGGTTGGTGGCCTGTACTTCTCTCGCCTTCCTCTAGGAGTCACTTAACGTCCGGCTGTCCCACTTCACTGAAGTTAAAATCGACCAGACTGGGTGTTGTCAGCTTCATCACCTATTGTAACCATTAATCTTCTACCTGATGGTTCTATGCAGTTTGTTTTGAAAAGCAAATGATTGAAAACGATCTATTATTCATTATGAGGGGAGGGGATACGTGTGGGGACATGATAGGAATCAAATGGCCAGGATCCTAATAAGTGTTGGGACTAGAAGTATCATTTTCATCTTGTATACTTCATTTTTTAAGATTCACTAAAATAGAAACAAAAGAAATCCTGCCTCACGTGTCTAATGAAGGAAAACCAGCCAGGGAAAAAGACTGGCAGGAAGATTGCAAATCCAAATCCAGGAAGGGCAGCCAGGAAAGCTTGGAGAGTGACAGCCACGAATGTGGAGCGCAGCCTGCTTTGCTTTGTTTTTGCCTGTCCCGTGTCCCTTCCTCCTCCTGACAGCCTTCATCCCCTCTAGGGTCTCCTCCCTCCTCCTGGAGATTCAGTTTCAGTGGAATTGTCCTAAGAGATCCCCGACCTCTCCTGGCCAAAGCTCAGAGGCCAGTCCGACCCCTTCTCCCAGCACGCTGGGTCTTGAGTGACATCACTTCCCCCTGGACGCCTTCCCTGGGACAGGCGACCCTCTTGGGTGCCGCCCAGGTTTCCAGCTGTCAGAGCTTCTAGGCCAATATGTCTGTACGCCCCTGTCCTAGGCTTGTACAATGCCT